TAGACCATAAACAATATCTCAAAAGAGAATTAAAACAGTTCATGAAGTATCAAAATGCAATACATGTTATGCAAAATATCGGCCAGATACATGTGACCATTCAGACTCTAAAGTGCCCACATGATATAGCAAAAAACTGACTTAATTGAAAGCGGTCACTTCAACAAAGAGTCATCACATTGAAAATTTAAACAGAAATGGTTGTACAATATTCAAAGTGAAGTGTTCATACCATGACTAATGTTACCACAATAGAATCATGGGTTGACAAATAACTTACAATCTCCCTTTTTTGTCAAACTTATGAACAAAGCACAATCTTTTCAATTACAAACTTGTCTCAAAATACCAACAATCAACAAGAGACAGAAACACAAACAACACAAAAACATATCTCATTAAAGGCATAATCATCAAGACATAGAGACATGAATGAAACAAAGACAATAAGCAAAACATAATCAGTATCAATTCAATAAAAAGGTTTTGCAAGATTTAAAAAAAAAAAAAAAAAAAATTGAACTAAACTGCTCCCCCTCAAATAGTATACTCCCCCTGAGTAACTAAACCAAGTCACATTCAAGTGATTATCAATTTAGAGCAAAAAGAGGGTTAGAATTGTTCAAAAACAAAAAAAAATAACATAATTTTTTCTCTGCACATGAAAGAACAACATCAGCAAGTAACAACTTAAATAAAAATGCAGTTTTAAAAAACAGAAACTTAAAGAGAAATTCACTACACAAACCACAATGACTTAAGCAAAAACTTAATATTTTCACCAACACACAATTTGCACTAAGTCGTACAAGATCAGAACTGAATTACTCCCCTCAAAATGTAAACTCCCCCTAAGTAAATGCACCAACTCACATACAAGAGATAAACAATTAGAAGTATACAAGGGTCAGTTTAGTTCCCAATATCAGAGCCAAACAAAAATAAAAAAATGCAAGACAGACAATAAAAAGGTTTGCTGCATGGATCTCTACATATACAAATACAAGAATAAGCTTCATCAGAACTTATAATAGAAAATCAGTTCATAAACATATTAAAACACAAGAAACAGAGACTGATTAGGTCACAGTTTAAGTAAACAAACAAAAGAGAAAATCAGTTCAGCTTAGGTAGACAAAATCAACAATAGAAATTAAAAAAATAAAAAAATTAGTGTGATCACATTAATAGCTCATGTCATCACACCATCAACTCCTTGAAGCAATATCACCAACATCCAAGCAAATCAGAGCAGAGCAACTCTCAGCAAATCCTTTAGCAATTTCACTCCCCCTTTTTGTTCATAATGTTTGGCAAACCCTTTAGTGTCTGCTGGACCCTCCAGTCAGTGTAAACACCATAATATCCAGATTTAAAACCATCAAACCGTTTGGATTTTCTACAAGAGGTAACTCAGGCACATTGCTAACAACATCAGCATAAAAAAAAAAAAAAAACCCAAGTTCTATTCAACGATATGGACGAAACTTTAGAAAAATCATCCAATTTCAAATGAGTTTCACATATGATGGGGCTTTAAGAAACATATTTCTTAAAGTGAGAAAAAGCTTTAGAGGAGACAAAGGTTAGATGCTTTTCACCAACTGAAGACTTTTCACTCGCTTTTGAATTCTTTATTCCTTTGGGTGACTTTAATTTAGAAGCTTTGGACTTTGATTTGGAGACTTGGAAGACATGAGCTTCTTTAATAGAGACTCTTCAGGCGATGAAGATGTCACATTTTGAGAGCCAAATAATGATTTTGCATGATCAGATGACAAAGATGAAGACTCAGTTTAAGCTTCAGAAGAATCTTGGTGAAGTCTGACCCTTTTCCTTGCAAACAATGCTTGATGCTTTTCTTTCAAAGATGAGCTTAGAAACATTAGGAGTTTTAACAGTGCATGGACACTTAAAATCAATGTGGGCACGCACAAACTCAATGTGAGTACACCAACAAAACCAAAATCAAAATGATGACTTCAATTTAGGTGCGATGACACTTGACAAGAGATAATTATGAAACAAAATGAACAACATTCATGTGGTGTCATTCATACAACAATAATGCTACGGACACCGAGATTTTTGCACCGAAATATTATACCGGCCTACGTGTAACACGCCTCTGATTCTTTTAACAATTTTTTTCTAGTGAACGGTCGTCCATCAAATTTGGACGGTCATTCACTAACATGGACGCCCGTCCATATTATATGGACAGGGTCCATATACCAGGGACGGGCGTCCCCATTTAATGGACGTCCGTCCATAAGTAAAATGGAATAAATTTTTTTATAAAAATTAGGGACGGCCGTTCATCCGTTATGGACGGCCGTCCTTTCATTTTGGATGGGCGTCCGCAAATAAGGGACGCCCGTCCTTAATCAAAATATGAAAAAAAATAAATAAATAAAAATTTGGGGACGACCGTCCATAAATTTTGGACGGTCGTCCCTTACGTTTGGATGGACGTCCATTAGGAATGGATACCCGTCCCTTAAGTCCATTCCTAATACAGGGATGGAGTGGAGCGAAGAAGAAGAAGAGCGAAGAAGGTGTTTTTTTTTTTTTTAAAAAGTATGGACGGGCGTCCATTAGGAATGGATGCCTGTCCATACTTTAAAAAAAAAAAAAAAAAAAAAAAAAAAAAAAAACACCTTCTTCGCTCCACCCATCCCGTAACACCTCAAATCTTTGCAGCAACAGAAAATCCTTGACATCTTACTGAACTCAGAAAATATATATTAATCATGGATCACCTACAGCTAGCTGTGACTTTTTCATTCTTTCCTTGACAGGCCGTTGCTGAACTTGAGTGCAGACTTAGATCTAAGAATCATGGCATTGGTCATGGTCTCAATCTTGCTAGGTGAACCCACTAACGGCGCACCATCTGAACTCATCATAGCACCTGATCCCTATGAATAAATCTACAACTACTTCCATTTTTCAGTACCCTCTAGCATAATACAAACATGGCTCCACCCAAACCCATTTTTGCGGCAAGTGATCAAAACAACTTCATCCTCCTCCTCCCAAGCATTAGCTAGAAAGATAATTAATATTGAAATAAGAAAGAGCAAACTGTATTTCATATATGTTAATTACAAATGAAATGAAATAATTATTCAAGAAGTATTGTTGCAAACTTTTTATTCCAGTTAATAAGCAGATAATGAGAGATTATAAGAACAGTGCAGACTTTTAAGTTTAAGAGAGTTGTTGACAGACCATTATGGACTATGAAGCAGTTGGAAGCTAAACATCTAATTTGAACCTCATCCTTTGCACACCGTGGAAGTACACCAAAACGAGCTTTAATCGTTGGATCAAATGTCAATATCAGCTTGTTTTCTTTCACCATTTCCTATAAATTTATATGGGATAAAACACTTTCATGTTCTCATTTCGAATTCATGAAAATTTTGAAATCTACAAGAAGTAAAAAGTTCAGAAAATATAGACTTGTTCAACGGGCCTGTAAAAGGAAAGAATGAAAAAGTCACAGCTGAGCTGTAGGTGATCCATGATTAATATATATTTTCTGAAGTTCAGTAAGATGTCAAGGTATTTCTGATTGCTGCAAGATGGATTTGAGGTGTTACAAGGATGGAGTGGAGCGAAGAAGAAGAAGAAGAGCGAAGAAGGTGTTTTTTTCTTAAAAGTATGGACGGGCGTCCATTAGGAATGGACGCCCGTCCAAACTTAAGGGACGAGCATCCATTCCTAATGGACGTCCGTTCAAACGGTCGTCCCCAAATTTTTTTTTTTTAATTTTCATATTTTGGTTAAGGACGGGCGTCCCTTATTTGCAGATGCCTGTCCAAAATGAAGGGGCGGCCGTCCATAACGAATGAACGGCCGTCCCTAATTTTTATAAAAAAATTATTCCATTTTACTTATGGGTGGGCGTCCATTAAATGGGGACGCCCGTCTCTGGTATATGGACCCCATCCATATAGTGAATGGCCGTCCAAATTTGATGGACGACCGTTCACTAGAAAAAAATTGTTAAAAAAATCAGAGACGTGTTACACGTAGGCTGGTACAATATTTCGGTACAAAAATCCCGGTGTCCGTAGCATTATTATTCATACAATTATTCAGCATATTAGACAACTGGTGAAGTGTCGTGACAATGACAAATCAAGTCAGCACAAGCAAAAGAGAATTCATAGAGAATGAACTTAAGAGAACTCATGTGGCTACACTCTCTCTCAAAGTGGCGACATTGGCACAAAAACTGCAGACTTTAATTACTTATTCCATTTTGAACAAAAAAAGAAAACTAAGGCGAAAAGATATCATGAGATTGATCATAGATTCACAAAATACACAAAGAAAATCTCATCCCATGTAATTCAATAATTAAAGATTTATAACCTAAGATCATACACAAGTAAAAAATAAAGATTCTTTATTATATGTGTGTGTTTTGTCCTCAATGGGGAATTTATGACACATTGGTCAAGCAATCAAAGAGAAAACTCCCCCTTCCCTCATGCCCTTTTTCACTTTTCTTTATTTTAATTTTCTTGAAAATAATCTCAGAATTTTTGAATTCTTTTTCATAGCATATGACATTTAATGGGCAAATACTCTCAAGAAGTAACCAAGTATAGATTTCACACTTGCAAGGACGTAATCCTCTAAATGGTAAATTTTTCAAAGACATAGCACAACAAGGAAAAAGGACTTTCTTAATAGAATTTCTTGACTATTTTTTAAAATATTCAAGAAGTCTTTTCTTTGACAACTTCTTGACCCTTTTTTAGCTGTCAAGGATTTGAGACAATCCTTGACTGCTTTAAAAGATCTTTGACTGTTATTAACCGTTAAGGATTTTATAAAAATTAAGTTGTTCGATTTCATCCCTTCACTATCATAGTTTTAATCCTTGACAGCCTTTAACCGTCAAAGATTTTGGAAAAATGAAATTCATTATATGACTGTTATATTCTTAATCCTCGACAGTGTTATTAGAAAAAAAAAAAAAAATTCGGCTACGGCTTCCCGCCCTAAAATTTTCCGAAGGCAAATTCTTTCCACCCAAAACACCAAAGTTCACTGTCGAAACCCATTTTCCCCCAAATTTCGACCAAGTCAAACCTAGGGCAAGAAAAAAAATTCTGCCAAAAACCCAAATCTCCTCCACTAAATTAATCAGATCCCGTAAACCCTGAATCTCCTCTACTAAATCGCCTAACTCTCTTCCACTAAATCTCCCAAATCTCTTCCATCACTTGTTTCTTTAGTTCCCGATAGTAGCAATAAACAGTGAAGTCGTCACTTTGCCACCTCCGCCGCCGCAAACAACTTACATTATATCAACTTGTCTTGACTAATTTCTTTATTCAACTATGTTAATATCTCTTAGGTCTACGTCGAAAGTGTGAAATGATGCTAATTTTTTTTTTTTTTTTTTTTTTTCCCTTTCTTCCCCCAACAAGACAGGCTTCCACAATGCGATGTCGGTTCAAAGCACTATCACATCTATCAGGTATCTTGATTGATTCTTTATCTAAGCTTTAACTTTGCCAAAAACAAGTAGCCAGTGTAATATGCCAGACTAAACTTTTCATGATTAATGGGGGCGGTTTGATTTCTTTTGTTAATTCTGGAGGTTGAATTTTCCTTTATGAAATTTTAGCTTTGGAAGTCCTACATTAAAAAGCCAACTGTACTAGTTGGACCCATCCTTGGTGCTGCTGTAGCAATTGACTTTGCAGTGAACTATCCTGAAGCTGTAAGTGTTTCATCTTTTCAATTCACTTTCATGCCTAGGTACATAAAAAGATTTTGACTTTAGACATTCTGAGGTCTCAAAATTGCTGCTCTAATTCCAACTCATGTACTCACTTTTGCTTCTAGCTTTTTACCCTCAAGTACAGAGTACTTGGTCAATAATGTTTATTCTAAAAAGTTATTTCCTAATACAGGTTGGAAAGATGGTTTTGATCAACCCCGGTGTTTATGCAAAAGGCACTGATAACCTTGCAAAATTACGTAAGATAGTAGCCTATGTTGGGGTAAGTCTCCACATTTAATGATTAAAGTAACTTTGACATTTTGGTTTATACAGTAGAATGACAATGTCAGAAAAAAACACCTAATTGCAAAGCATGTGTTACAAAAAGGAATAAGAAAAAGGTAAAGTGAAAGATGTTTTAGAAAAAGAAGCTACGATCACCTAACTAACGGAGAGCCCTAACGGTAACATGATCTTTAAAATTAAACAAATACATAGAATATTGTACCACCTAGTAACCATTAAACTGTTTACAATTTGTTTATCTGCGATCTGGAGAGTTTACAATTTTGTTATTTAGTTATGATAGAACCCTAAGGTTATTGTTAGACCCCCCATTAAGAAGCTGTATCAATATAAAGGGCATAAGGGTTAAAAAGGTGTGAGAGTGCATGTGTATTAGTGGAGGGTGGTTAGGTGTCTTTTGCGTGTGAAAAATCAAGTGGTTAGTGGAAGGAATTGTTAGGACTATAGTTTGTTACTGTCCTTTTGTTTTTTATAATTGTTCTTATGAATTGTCATTTCCATTCACTTAATACAATACAAATCAATTTCCAGTTATTACATTGCTCTCTTTTTCTGCGTTTTTCCTATTGTGTTGCTGGGTTTGTGTGAAATTGTGAGGGAGTTTCTGATTTGTGGCACAGATTTGTTTGAGTGTTGATTGTATACTCTAGCGTGAATCTAAATACAATATATTGTCTTCATGCTGAAATCCTATTTCGTTTTTGTTTTGGGCTGATAAACTCTTGCTGTGTGATTATTCTATTGCTTCTTTGTGGTTGTTGTGTTGGGTACATATGAAATTTTGTTCATAGGTTTCATTGGGTTCTTGTTGCTATTGGCATGAAGACTTTAACTGTGTACTCTTTTGATTCCTTGAGGGGAGATATTGGGCAGGACTTATAGGAAATAGTGCAAAAGTTAGTAATTCTGCTTATGTCATTTTTAATGCTCTTTATAATATCAAATACTTTGTGTTAATTTCAGAAGTTGTTTTAACTTTCACAGTGGTATCTTAATCCATTCTGCTCGGAAGGTGTCTAAAAAAGGGGCTAATATCTCATGACAAAAAGTATTGGTGCTTAGAATTGTTACTATCAATAGCAATTAATTTTCAATTATAATATTGTTTTACCTTTTAAATATTAATGCTTACTTCCGAATTAATTTTGTGTAGGGACCCCGGGAAGTGTTGAATGTGGGTTTTATATAATAAGATACGTGAGAGATATAGTTGAGAATGGGTTGGCATTACTGAAAGACAATGTAAGTCTTTTGTTTTTTTTGTTTTGAATAATAAGATATAGTTGATATTTGTTGATTAGTCTTATTGTGTTTACTTTTATAGTTCTTGGGAAAAGAAACATACAAAGATGCAAAGGTCGATAAAGTCAGAGCAGAATGGGCAATGTACGTATCAAACTTTTTTTAGTTATTGTTTCAACGATGTCAGAGGGCAATGAGGGCAAAAACTATGCATCAAACTTTTCATTTGTTTACGCAATATTGTAAAATAGTTACTGTTGTTCAATTTTGTTTACCCAGAGCAACAATAATATATGTACCATTCGATCAATTATTTGATGTCTCGTTGCATATTGTTGAATGGTGATAATTGTTGGAAAGATAAATATTATGAAGCATTTCATTTGGCTATTCTATAATTTAATTCGTAATAATAAAGAACTTTTACTAATTTAAAAAAAAAAATTAACAAACAAAATCTTGACAATGTGAAAATTGTCAACAATTTAGCTAAAATTCTAAAAAAAATTTGATAATTCGGCTAAATTCTTGGTTGTTCTATAACTGCCAAGGATTTAGCTAATTGTCAAGGATTTTGTTAAAATTCTATTAAATCCTTGACAGTTATCAAATTATCAAGGATTTGTCATGAGGTCCTTTGACAGTCAAAAAATTGTCATGACCCTTTCTTGATAGGGGCTACAATGACAATTCAAAAACTGTCATTGTACTCCCTTCTTGATAAGTAATACCTGTCCAGAAATGCTTTTTTTCTTGTAGTGTAGAGGTCAATACATCCTAGAGAATTACTCAAATATATCTTTCAGACTACAAGCGAGATAGCTCTTTCACAAGGTGACAAGAAATAAGCAATATGCACTAATGATGAAAGAAAGTCATTATACTTCAAGAGGTGAAAAAGCAGTGTGGACACATCACTAACAGCATACATTTATCAAGAGAGAAGAGTATTCTTTATGTCATGACACAAATCAGTACACTTGCAACTTTAAAACAAAGAAAATTTTCTAATGAATTATTGAACAAAACAAAGACTTTACTCACGTTGAATTAATCCAATGGACTTCCTCAAGTTCACAAATGTTTGAAAATCTAAAACCTTTGTAATCAAGTTTGCCAGTTGAGAGTTTGTGTTTACATGTGCCAGCAAAATAATTTTCTCTTCAACTATATCTCCTATGGAGTGGTGCTAATATCATTGTGCTTAATCCTAGAGTATTGAACATGATTTTTTGAGATGTTAAAAGCACTAGTGAGGTCACAAAAAATAGTTATACACTCCTGATAAAGACCATAATCACTCAACATTTGTTTAAGCGATAAAACCTGAGTGCAGTAACTCCCAGTTTCAATTTACTCTGCTTCAGCAATGGATAAGGAGATCGAATTTTGCTTCTTTCTATACCATGTCACCAAGTTGTTTCCAAGGTTAAAACATTCTTCTGAAATACTTTTCTTGTCATCAATGTTCCCGTCCTAATCAGCATTTTTGAGTTCTGCAAAAGAAACATAACACCAGTTGTTAATTTAATTCATCATTTTTCCTCTTGTAACCATTACCTCATCTGGATTTCCATTCACATTTGAAGGTGGCTGACCTTTCCTGATCCATGAGGGTGGTTCTTTCCCTGTGGATGTGTTTCTTTGAGTGATCTCATCAGAAAGATCAACAATTAATTCAAGTCCTCTCCTTAGGTAGACTGATCCCTGTTGAGCAACAGTGGTGCTCACATAAGGTTCTAGTGTGGTCACCTCAGCTTGGGATTTAGTTCCAGAAGGAGTCACGGTAGGCACATCATCATGATCTGTGGTACCTCAGCAAGGGCAATCATATCATCAATTTCATCTTCCTGTGAGAATTATGAGTAATCTTCCTCAAGACAACCTCCTTAACGTTCCACTAGAATCAAATTACGATAAGTTACAATGGTTTGACAGGATTTCGCCTCTAGTTTTACAGGATTTCACTTAAGATAAAATGAATTCAAAATGTTTGTGTGGGCTTTTGCCTCCACTCTAGGCTGATACACAAATGTTACACAAATTTCTCTCTAAGGATATCGAATGAGGATCTTGGAGAGTAGCAAGAAGATGTAGAATTATAACTCAAACAATATTTTGATGTTGCAAAAATGTAGGACTTGCTCGCTACACTTCTTCTCTAGTTCTTTCATCTTTAAAGTGAGATATTATACTCTAATATGAAAATATACTCATTAATATCTGTTAGGGAAAAGTTGCAACTTGCTGCAAAAGTAGGAGGAAAGGGCGTTCCAATATCACGCATGGTCGTTCTTGACTCCACGATCATAAAACTTAAAATCTTGGTCTAGTAACGGTCGTTCTTTTGTTAGTAATGGGCGTTCATTTCTTTTGATATGTGCAAGCCATATATCATTGGAAATATATTTTAGTCAGTTTCTCACAAATTTTATAGAGTTGATTATGGAGTTCTCTAGAGAAAGTTATAGCCCACTCTTTGCAACCTATCCAGATTTTCTAAAATGATGAATGGCTTGCTAGAACAGTGTTCTTCATGCATGGAACGACTTGGGACTTGATGAACGGCCATTTCACTATGAATCTCAAATTTTCCAAAATTTGGCAGAACCATGAACGACTTTATGGAACGGGGTTGTTCATGCCTAGAACATCTTGAGGATAAAAGAACGGTCATTCATTCTCTTGGAACAGGAGTTCCTCCATGATTTGGCAAAAGTGATCAACATTAAAGTTTTAGGCCTTTGAATTATATTTTTCAACACTACAATAATCATGTAATTATGATATTTGTAGCAAAAGTTATCCTCGAAATACCAAAGAGATGTTCTAGATCTTGATTATGCCAAACTATCAACTCGTGTCATGATTTTATCCTCGATTCTAGATGATGTAGGAAAAGTGATAAACATAAAATTTTTATAAATTTAAGTTATCTTTACAATGCCGCAAGAATCACAAAATTTGGAGCTTTCTAGACAAAGTTATCTCCAAAATACTGAAAGATAGTTTTGGATGTTGATTTTGCCAGACTGTAAACTTGTACCTTGATCCTGGCTAATCTAGATGAACTTCATTCCAACGTCATAGAAATGACTTGATTTAGATCTTTCTAGCCAAAGCTATCATCAAAATACTGAAGAGTGTTCCAGAGGACGACGTGAGGATATAAGGGATGACTTGTCTAGAGGTCGGAATAAAGTTCTGAGATTAAATCTTGCATTTTCATTTTTTGTCATGACTTATGTCATGCCTTAAGAGTTTTATTAGCCCTTATACAATTATTTTCTAGTTTTGGCACATCAAAACACAGAAGGGTCCAACAGTTTTGTTGGAGTTCTAGGAAACAAGAAGTTGTAGCTCAAACCACAGCGGAAGTTGAACCTATTTTGGTGAGTGCAAATCATGTGATACCCCTGTATTTTTGATAAGTTTTACTAAGAATTTTTAATCATAATTTGGGGTGCAAAGTGAAAGGATTTTGAACCTTTGAGGGAGAAAGGTGTTACAGTTGAAACATGGAAAGGCAAAATTGAAATTTGCTCAAGTAACACGCTGTAGTGAGACAAACTGCTCAAAATCGCACAAAAATACACAAAAGTAGCATACCTAAAAACAACGCTCAAGCACAAACAACAAGCAAGGATCTATTGATCAAATGACTTTTCAAAATGTGTTTTGATATCAAATGAAAGTTTATGACTTATCCAAGTTCATTAAACTCCTATGGAATAAATTAATCATGTTCATTTGTGCTTGTGGGTTTGTCCACTCCTCATCAACACATTGCTAAACATCCAAGACATAAAGTAAAGCGCACATATGGTTTTTACATGGTTCGGCCAATTCCCTACATCCATGGGACCACATCTAAATGTGGTAAATCCATTATAGCAAACATTAAAGGTTCATTACAAAGTTGTAGTTAAGCAAACTAATGTAAAACACTCCCTGTTTTTACAAAGCTCTAACTCCTTCCTTTGGATGATCCACCGTCGTGCCATAGCTTGCTTGAATCCAAGACACCTCTTGGATAGCTCGAGCTCCACTCAAGCTTCAACACCGAAGGTGCACTTCAGCTCCACAGCTTGAAATCTCATCAAGCTTTTCATCAATGGAACCACGCACGTTCCAACAACACTCAAACGACAAAGGTTAACATAGTATTTTAAAGCTTACTAAAGCATAAGGGAACCTGACCAAATATGAAAACAACCTCAAAGGACTTTCAGAGAACAATAAGAAGAGTATTCAGGTTCAAAACGTAATGCAAGGTTGATGAAGAACATAGAGAAAACATGCACAACAATCCATTAGACAACCAGTCGACAATCTCTTACAATGTTCAACTATTTTTCGAAAGTTTTCAACCACTTCTAAAAACTTAAACGGATTTCTAACACCTTATCTGAGATATTAACATCTGTATACGGACCACTTACACATGTCTCATGACTGGAAAAATATCCTAGCAATAAATGAAAACACAATATTTGTATGAAAGTCTGACTGGACGACTGTCTGCACATGCTAGACTTTGATGTGCCCACTTGTTTTACAATAAAAAAAAGGCTAAGTGTGCACACATCAACAAAGAGTGTCATGACAATTGAAAGCTACAAAAACTATTGTGCTTAAACAATATGATGTGCAAACATCAAAACTTAATGTGCTCACACAAAATTCATGAGTTGACAAAAATACTTTTTGAGGTCAAAAGTGAGACAAGCAAGGGAAGTTGTGGAATATTCTATTCTAGTGATTACCAGCAATATAATTTGATTGTATAGTATTTAATCAGTGTGATTAACAAAGAATTAATATTTTGATCAGGTTGGTTCGAGTCTTGTTTACACAGTACTTTAAGTCATTTCAACGAGTTGACTTGAGAAGCCAAAAATTCTTCCAGTATATAACCTTGTCGATGCTTATATGTGACAGATCACTTTTGAGAACTCAATTTATCCTTTCGGATAAGAACATTCAAGATGCTTATTCTAAGGATTGTGAATCCTTTCTTGTAGAAGGAATAAAGAAATAATGTTCAGCTTATTATAGAAAAATTTATGATACAGACAATCACTTTTGGTTTGGATATTCGAATAATAGTTTCCGCGATAAACTAAAAGTACTTTTGCAATTCTGAATTTGGATTTTTTATTCTGAAATTCCAAATAGATGACTCATAGCACATTATAATTTATAGAAAGTATCTTTCTTGGTACCATAATGTCATAGTATCTTTATTTTTTTTCTTCTCTAACTTTTTGGTTCGAATATATATATATTTTTTTTTTAACAAAATCAATGGAAAAATAAATAAATCATTAAATATGTTAAAAGTAATTTTTTATGG